ATGACAAACCGTGGAGCATATATTTAATATATATAAAAATTTAGAACATGCACCACAAACTGCAGGCAACTGGAATGTTCTCTGTTAAAACGTGTTATGTATTAGATATTTTTGTTTATTTTATGTTATGTCCATTTGGAATAGCGTTGTGTATATACTTTTGTTTGGGAAACAGGTTTGGAAAGTCAGATGTTCGAGTTTTCCACGTGTCCTTAAACGCACCGTGCATTCGTGGATCGTGGATTTTTGAGAGAATCCGTGTGTGCGCGGAAGGCGATTCGTGTGTTAGACGATCCACGCATGCGTAGGTAACAATGTGTACGAACTTTCTAAAGAACTGCACATTTGTAAAATGTGTTTTATGTGCAGTTTGTACAGCATGCATTTGTGATCCTCATGACACGCATTTGTAACATTTTTGATAGTATTTTATCTCCGTAGACATCACCAGTGTAAAGGCTACATTTGTGTAAAATTTTCACTCTTTTGACTTAATTTACATGAACAAGTATAATTATGAACAGGTACACACCCGTCAGTGTTCTGACTTATCCATTCATGACATAATTTGGAGTACCAAACTGGACTTGCATTGGCTGAAAACTTGTTACTTGCTACATAATGATGTGGCCCAGTCCATTGCTAGTAGCATTTTAAAGATCTAATGTAACATTGTTTGTTGCCGCTTATTTTGTTAGATTACACAGCCTTATGCTGGTTTACTGGGGATATGTACATACAGAGAGAGCCGATGTACCAGAGTGAAATTCCTTGCGTGTCCGACACACCTGGCCAATAAAGCAGATTCTGATTTTAAAATTCTTCTTAGTAAATGGGTGATGTTTGTCATAGGAGAGCACAGTAAGAGTCAGACAAACCAACTGTCATTTTTGTAATTTTATTTCATTTTGTTACAAAAACAGCTGTTTTAATCAAAGAGACCGAAGCCCATGTCGTCGTCGGACTCCTCGGACTCTTCCTTCTTCTCCTCTTTCTTCTCCTCCTCCTTGGCTGCAGGGACAAACAGAATGGTTCATGGTTAACAAAGGTAAAGACAGCTTACACATGTCATGCACACAGACTTCAAACAGCCAATGAAGTGAGATTAGTTATTCACAACACCAATGTGTGCAGCATCACCCGAACATCTTAGTACCAGCACCTGACTGTTCTGCAGACAATGTCCTCGGTATACATCAACCTCTCTCACATCTCACCTAACTATAACTGAGGACAATTTGGTCATGCCCCTGTAAATCCCTACTAAATCAGTATGTGTCTAGTATGGCTGCACGATATATCGAAAAAATATCGTTATCACAATAATAGTATGTGCAATATGCGTATCGCAAAAACATGCGATAAATTAATAATTTTATATAGTATTTTATGAGTTTGTTGCACATGTTTGGTGTTTATCTGAGTTTGACCAATCAGACGCGACCTTAATAACGCACCCAGCCATCCACCCCCCTAGATACTGTTCTCCTATTGGCTAGAGCGGACCCATATGCGCACAGTGACAGAGATGTAATACTAATTTACTTACAGTCTGGGCACTTTATGTTTTCTAAGATTTTATAATATTTTTATTTATTTATTTAATATGTATAGAAAACCAGGCAAGCAAGGCAATGTTTTGTTTCAAAGCTGTTAAAGCTCTTGGTTCAGATGCTCTTGGCAATTACATGTTGTACACATGGTTACATGTGAATAAAATGATTGAGAGTAATGCCTTTTTATTTTTTGTTACAACAGGTATGCAGTAGTATTTGTGAAGTTTGTTCGCACCACATAATAGTTAGCCTGAATTACAATTAATTCGATCAGAATACATATAGCCTGCGTATTTTGCCACATTAAAGTGTATTTCTTCGATTAGATAATGAAAATACCATTTCTTCAGGGGAATATTAAATATCGCAATAATATCGATATCGCAATATTCAACACCCGTATCGCATATTGCATGTTTTTCCAATATTGTGCAGCCATAGTGTCTAGTTACCTGGTGCCTCTCCAGGAGCAGCAGCAACTCCAGCAGCTGGGGCTCCAGCAGGAGCGCCACCTCCAGCTCCAACATTGCAGATCAGGCTGCCGATGTCAATGCTGGACAGAGCCTAAAACGTCAAACTGGTCAGTGCCGTGCCATGTACAAGTTTGTGCTCTTGTGCACAAACCTCAATAACTAAAAGCATAAGACTGTAGTTATACAGGTCTGTGCTGATTAAGTCATACATTTATATATTAATAAAGTGTAGCTAACAGCAAAGGCATACAGTACATACAAACAGTTAAGGACTGTCCATTTAGCAGTGTCTCTGACATTTTGATGCAAAATGTATGGTGACATTTGGGGGGAGGGACAAGTGCGTGGAGGAAAAGAAACCGACTCCTCTAAAACTCCTGCATATGTAGTAATGTAGAACATTCACTCCAAATCATCATGGCTGTTTATGTATGAATAGTGACATTTGTAGCTCACTCACCTTGGCAAAGAGACTTGGCCAGAATGGCTCCACAGTGACTCCAGCAGCCTTGATCAGAGCAAGCAGCTTGTCCTCCTGTAGACACAGAAACACAGTGATTGTTATAGAAACCATCTTTAGTCAGATACTATCTTGTACTGTCGTGATCTTAGCATTTTCAAACATGCCCCATTGTAAAACACAACAAAGGAGTTAAAACATAGCACATACTTTGCCCTGGTAATTTAAAGTTTTGTGCACCTGTTAATGTTGTAACGAATAGTGTAAAGAAACCGTAATTAACGATAAACCTTGCACTGCTATACTGCTGGTGATAAAAGCATGGTGGTCGTAGAGTTTTATTAGATAGTACCTGTCACTGAGTGACCTGTTTTTAGGAATTCAATTATTTTGACGTTTGGCGAGTAACAACACCGTAAGCCACGTGTTGTTGCTGATGACAGACGGTAGTGTTGCATCACTGAAGCGAGCTGTACGTTACTATCACAAAATTTTGGCCTACTATTGGCAACAAGCATGCCGCCATTTTGGCCGGTGGACTGTTGAGATAGTTTTAGACACCTGCACTTAAACGCTCATATAAAATATTACGATCCAATTTTACCAGCAGGGACGCCAACTATCTGCTTTATTTTTAAGGGTTGCGCCGCCAGCACAATATCACAGAGGATCCTGTTAAGAGGTACTAAGTTAGCTGATCTGAAGGCACAAACAAGAACACTTACAGTGACAGTGACTTCATCGTCGTGGAGGATCAGAGCAGAATAAATACAGGCGAGCTCGGACACGGAAGCCATTGTAGATGATGGATTTTATATTTGTGGCGTCGGATGCCTAAATTTCACGGTGCTAGTCGCCGGATTATGGACCTTAGCTTCAGTTGAAGAACCAAGCACTTTAGGCACGTTAACTTCCCACAGCGGAAAAGGAGGAAGAGAGGGCGGGGCTAAGAAAATATACCAACACGTTAACTTCCCACAGCGGAAAAGGAAGAAGAGAGGGCGGGGCTAAGATAATATACTGTGCGTACGGATGCGTATCGTTGACGTCATACGCACACAAAGTGACGAGGGACGTAGCTGAAATGGGGTCACCTTTCATTCAGAACAGTTTTAAGACCTGCAAGTCTCTGCTTAGCATTAACAGATATTTTTCCGTTAAAGTGTAAAATTAACATAAAATTGAACAAAACGCTGTTTAATCGTAGAAAGGACTTATTGTGTAATTTTAAAATGGGTCATCTTTTGTCAGTTGCATCGTTGTAAATTTAAATACATGCATCATATGTAAACCTTGTTTCAGGTCAAATTATTTGTTTTAAAATGATAAAACACAAAGCATTATGATTTAGTACCAGAAACAAATATGAAATGTGCATAAATTTAAACATAAAAATCACAAATTTTATCTGACACATGAATATATGACAGTGCAAATCTACATTTAAAAGCATAACTGAAATATATGCACAGAAGAAGAATGTTTACAAGTTTGTTCAGTCAGTTTTATTTAATCACAATCAAAACCCCAACCATTACAACAAGTAAAACAATTTCAAGACAGATTTCTGGCAAATCGCTCCTGGCAGCACTTACAACAGAGAAAAGAAAAATCTGTGCAGGATCTTTGTACACAACTAAGATATCTGGACCGGCAAAAAAAAGTGACTATGAATCCAGATGTAATACTTTCCTTAAGTCTTGCCCTTAATGTTTCCCCCAAAGTCTCTAGTTAAAAACATCAGATGGACCACTTATGGTGAACATACAAAGCTCAAACAATTCAAAGAATCATCCTCTCATTTGGCACTAACATACTTTCTTTGCCCTGATATGTAAAAAATACTCGAGCAGGTAAAATTACACAACTAGAATAAATGGGAATGACAATATGGCTTTCAGTGGTAACCTCCTCCGTCATCCACTGCAACTAAAAAAATTTAAACCGTCTGTCGATCTGGAATTGGTCCTAGGTAACACATGTTATCTGTCTATATGATAATTTGGGATAAAAATTTAGCAAACTAGTATTTTTTAAGTGAACAATATTTAAAGATAATTAGCATAATTTCATATAGCTTCTTGAAGAGCACTCAAATTCTGCATTAGGAATATTCAACTTAGCTAACAATACATCCTCTTATTATACATTTCAGTACTGGACCCTTGTTTTAAATGCAACTTCCATGTTATATCCAAGTTACTGTAATTACAGGTTTCCAACTTGTAAGTAGCTTTCACTTCAAAAGTTACGCTAGAATCATAATTACAACCGGGAATATAAACTTTTCTGGAGACTCTGATCAATCAGCTTCAGTGTTTGTGGAATATTAAACTGGAAGTGCATGAAAAACAAATACAGATGCCTGGTCAGCACTAAAATAATAAATTTAATTAATATAGTGCTATATTTGTCAAAGGACACAATTTTTAGCCCTCTGTAGTGATGCACTCATCTTGAGTTGACATGAAACCCAGCTTCTCAGTCACTCTGGCTGTAATATCTGACCTGTGTGAAACAAGAAGCTGAATTTTGTAGCTTTGATGAATGAGCCAAGCAGCTCTTGTTTTACAACACCTAGATGTACTGTATCTGAGGAGACCCAAAGCTGGAGACCAGGCATCAGTGATGTGAACAAACTGGAGTCATTCCATCAGACAATGAATGTGACTGGTTTTGTGGATTGACACAAGGTTTGATAAAATGAAAGAGCAGAATTTACAGCCGAGAAGGCTCAAAGTTGCCACCAATATCTATTATAGACGTCAGTGTACGCTGTCATATCGAACAGAGCAGTAGACTTGGGTTGCAAACAGAGTGCCGGTTGTTTACACCAAGCACAAACACATTTTTCCAGGTAGTTGTGTCGGTTTGACAGGTTGAGCTTAATGATCCTTCTTTCTGGTCACACACACCGCAAAACAAAACAAAACAACTCTCTGGTCTGCAAATGTTAAATATGCAGATATCGACCTTTCAACATTTTGCATTATGGGTCAGGGTGAAAAATCAAAAACCACAGGGATGTGGATGCACCTGTTCCATTTACAACTAACTGACCAGAAACAAAACCATTTTATGCTGGTGTCCGTGGACCATCAAACCAGTTCAGACAATACCAGATGAGATCAGTGGTGACCACTGGACAGAAGACAAACGAACAGATCATGGAAGCCAAACTGTCTTTCCTCTTTAGTCTTTGTGATTCTTCCTTTTGGGTGTTTCATCATAAGAAACCCCATATTCATTCACTCTTGTTTTGTCCACTGGGTAGAGCCTGAGGAGGAACACATAAGCAGAAACTCAAATGAGATAATTGCTGTGTATGTTTTGATGGTGATTTCCATTTCACAAGTCCCATGTCAGTCAGAAGTCATGCGTGTGTGTGTGTGTGTCCATGTACCATCTCTGGTAGAGGTAAATGAGAAACACGACATCATCTCTAAAGCAGGCCAGTCTGTGAGATGTTGGCATGGTGATGATGAAGGCAAACACATCGTCGATGAAAGTATTAAATGCCTGGGAATGATCAATTCATTTTAATTAAAATTCTTATAAAAGAAAAAATAGCAAATGTATCTGTCACAAACAATATATAATAATTCTAACCCAAATTAAATCTCATCAGGAATATTTAAACACCTATGACACAAACTATACTGAGAATCTAAATTTGTGGCTCACCTTGTACATAAAGGCTTTCCAGGGCAGGTGGGCCACAGATTTCAGCTGTTTAATAAAGAACGGAGCAGAATAAGTTAGTCAAATGTTTAAAAGACAAAAATCGCATCACACCCACTGCTTCAGGGATTTTGTTTTGTTTTCAAGACATTAAAAAGAAAGATCTGTACAATAATGTATCGCTGCATTACCATTTTTAGCCAATGTCACAATTTTGTTTCTTCCAAAATCATATGACAATTTAACATTTATTTTAGCTATTACCTATTCATAAAATTATAAGAAACATAACAGATTCTGTGATAAACCAACCTTGTAGTTGACAAACAGTTGAGGAAGCATGAAGAGGAAGCCAAAGGCATATACACCTGTAAAGATTAACAAGTGATCACCTCATTCTGATACTGTTCATTATGCACCAATTAACTTTAGTTTAAAGGTGTTTTAGCTTACCATTCACCAAACTGTTGATCACCCATGAGTACCAACTAGGACAGGCAGAGAAAGATGTTAAATATAGGCAGCGTTAAACACTTGGCATGATAATCACACCAGTGATAATCTTGTAGTACAAAGTTGTGATTGTTATGCCCATACACACACCTACCTCTTATATCGTAAAAATATTAGAGCATACACAGCTCCTCCAATACACAATGGGTAAAGGAGGTATGAGAGATACTTCATGGCCTACAGAGAAACACAGGGCATGTGACGATTTGCTTATGTGTTTGTATTACAGTACATGATTAGTCACTGTAAAAACCTGGTTAATTGTCTATGGATGTGCGAGTCGAATTGCCTTACCAGAGTGTCATACTCTTCTGTTCTCCTCTCAGATTCATCTAATTTTCCAAACTGTGTCACAGAATTAAAACAAACAAAACCAGAAATACTCTTAGCACATTTCCAAGTGTGAGGTCACCTTAATTGAAAACAAAGCATATCATTATGCCTATTATGGCTGCCTATACTACTGCATCAAAGTACATGGCTATTTTATTTGTTGCCCATGACTGCAGCTCCACTATCTCCTCTCTGCTTTTACTTCATTCTCCTGTATTTCAGTAGAAAGCTTTACAACAAAAAGCCATGCAGTTGGAAAGAAAATGTTGCGGATGGCCCACATATTAAACTAATAACCATCAACAAGCAGCCACGTACCAGGAATGTTGGTTTTCCTCCTTTCCAGAAAACCTGAATCTTAAAGGCCTTCTTCACTTTCCATACCTGCAATAGATAAATCATTTACAGTGGACAAAACATGCATTAATCACAGGAGACTATAGTAATTATTTTAAACTCCCCCAAAATTAATAGTTCCTTTCAGTGTCCTACACCCAGTCAAGTAAAAAAAAAAAAAAAAATGAGCAGCAGAGTGAAATAATTAAAAATAATGAAGGTGCAGCTTCTTTTAAACATCTAATCCAACATAGTTTTGTCAAGCCCAAATAACCAATGTATTTATTGTGAAGGCCTATGGCACAACCGTTGACCCCTCAACTCACATCTGGCTAAGAGGAGGTCATTCAGACATTAACATAGGCGAGGCGTCAGTGTGTCAAACTGGATAACCCAAAAACAAATATAGCAGCGAATACGAAATTGTAAACAACACATTATCAAAGGCCAAGTTGGACATATGGGAGAAATTTGGTGTGGTTACAGACATTATCATCAGCTTTGCTGCTTGTAAATAATGCCAAAAAGCGTTAGCATTTGATTGCCACAAGCTAGGAAGCTCCTCACTAAGGGGACAGCTGCAGAGCCCAGTATAATATTTGCTTCTAAAATGTAAAGTCAAAGTATGAAGCATGTAGCAGAAAATGAAAGTACACTTAATTACTTTATACCACTGGATTAATTCACATAAATGTTTCTGTTATTATGAATGTCTGCAGATGTGTGTGCGCGCAAGTGTCCAGTATATGTGTCTTTACTTCAATGAGAGAGCCGATCCCAGCCGGTATGAGGACGAGCAGGCTGGTCTGCTCATCAAGCAAATAGAGGAAAATCACTATAGTGCTGAAACATCGCCACAACACTGAAAGCACAACAAACACACAGTGTTTATTACAGACACCCACACAGTGTTGTACATGATCTATCCGAAGTATAATGTGCAGCTAACTCTCCAGACTTTTCTGACGTTCTCATCTGTTTCCTTAAATTCCAACATAATGCTTTGGGTTTTTTTTTTTGTCTGGATGGTATATTGAGGGGGTTGCAGAGTTACCCACCTGCTTTGCTGGACATTCCCACCATGCTTTTCTTCTGCTTCCAGAAGCTGATGTCATTTTTGAAGGCCAAGAAGTCAAAGAGGAGCTGGAAGAAAAAAAGGTAACAAGTTTTTTCTAAAGCCATCCAAATTTGTCAAGCTACTTACTTATACTTAATTATCAGTACACATCAGTTGTTCTTTCTCCTTCTTTTACTGAGGTGCTGGCAAGTTAAATTTTATGACATTTTATTTCCACCTTCTGAATGGTAATTATAAAAAGGTGGCCAAGTTAAGGTTATGTTTAAGATCCAAATAACACAACCAATAAGCAAATGTCAACTATTTCTGTTACTTCTTACAAGTTGAAGAATCGTGAAGTGTTCAAAATTTTGCATTCTACTGAAATCCTGTAAATTTGTATTCTATTCTAGTGCCATGGTGTAGAGGTCTGTAGTCAGACTCACATGGAAGGCAGCTACAAAGAAGGTCAGAGCCAGGAAGTACAGGTTGGTATCCACAAAGATGCCTTTAATCTCATCAGCATCCTTCTCTGTGAAACCTGTAACAAATGCCAGATCAGACACATAAATGTATATAGTATTAAGGGTGTGTGACTCCAAGACAGAACTGTGTTTAAGTGTGACCAACAAACCAAACTGCTGCAGAGAGTAAACAGCATCTTGCATGTGAATCCAGAATCGTAGTCTCCCCAGAGAGATGGAGTCATAGCAGATGGTCAAAGGGAGCTCCACTGAGGTTTTGTTAATCTCCTATGTGTTCATACAAACACACACGCACACACAACCTGTGAGTTCAAAGCTTTTATATTAATCTGATGCAGGAAGTAATTCATGTCTAAACAAATCAACAAGGGTCTGGACCATGAAACCACTGGGTTTTCAAATGAGTGGTTTCATTTTCCTCTAAAAGAAATTCTAGAAAAAAATAAAAAAAATAGAAAAAAAATCTAAATTTAAAATCTACAGGACCACTGGGAAACCACCAGATGGTTGGATGGAGGGAATTACATAAGATTTATTTACACATCAAAACCTACCACAAGGTCCTTGACCCGGTTGCTGAGCTCATCGACAAACAACAGAGGTAGATACACCATCTTCTTACCATTTTGGAATCTGAAACATGACAAATAAAACATCTTTTGTAGTATGTGTAATCCATTTTAAGTATAACCAAAACCCCAGTACAACCACTTCACTGAAAATTACTAAGAAATCTGCTTGGTAACAATAGATTCCTTCCATCAATAGCTTCTCCATAAATGTCCAACAAATGTGAAACATCTCTCTTCTGAACCCTGTCACTGTTGTTGCTCTCCTCTACGTTTATTTTTACTGGTCTTTGAGGGGCCAACACTGAATGATGATTTGTGCAGAGGAGTGATATGTTGAATAAAGCCGCATGAATTCTTGTCAAATATCAGATATGAATCACATCTAGAGACCACAAGTCACCCAGATGCAGTTTGAACAAATCCAATTTGGTTTGTTCACACATTCTTAGAGAGCACTGTGTGTGTGTGCGTGCTTGTTTATGCATTGTCTTACACTCGGAGGTATCTGTGGACATCACTGGGCAGGTATTCTCTGTCAAAATGGAAGGGGTCACTGACAATATTAAACGTCAGGCGGGAACGCCAGTGGGAAACTGGGTGATCTGGTGTGGAAGTGGGTCCACGTCCAGCTCCAGTTCCACTCTCTGCTGCAGGGTTCCCATCATGCGGTTTCTTCTGAAGGGCTTCTTCCTTCTTACCCTGTGTGATCATGTAGACAGATGCATAATGACTAATGTTTACTCACAGTACACACACATACATACACACACTTAAAATATTAGTTATATAATTACAATGTAAGAGTTTACAGAAAGGAGCTGCTAATATTAATAACATAAAAATAGGTCTACCAGTTCCACTATAACATGCCACAATATGTGATTATTTATAAAATTAAGAATAATAATAAATAGCCTAAATCACTATACCTGTGTTTGATCCTCCCCGGATATCAGAGAGATTTCAGGTGGTTTAGGGACCATGTATGTGGTCAGCTGAGCAACCAAGTGGATCTGCCGTGGATCCTGCCATGGAGTGACACCAGCATGATGGACAAATATAAGTGCATATAAAGTTCCATTGTTACGAGTCTTCTTAGGGAGGGAGACATTTACTATCCTGCAGGAAAAACAGACCAAGAGGGAACAGGATAAATGGAAGGTATTTTTTGATATGAATGTACAGTATGCCAGAATATATCTTTAAAAAGTGTCATGTCTTAAAAACTTAAAACACCATGCAGTAAATGTAAATAGCACCTACATCCAAATCTGTTTTAGTAACTAGCAACATTAATATCAGTTTAATCAGAAAAACGAGGCAGCTGTGGCTCAGGAGGGAAAGTGGGTCATCCCCTAGCCAGAGGATTAATCTGAATAGTGACTAAAAGGAAGGACCAACCTCTCAAACTTGCTGTTGACATCAAAGTTATCCTCTCTGTGGATCATGGTATGTCCTCCCTCAGCATTGGGCTGCAGTGTAGTGTAGATGCTCAACTGGATTCACACAGAGAAGCATCAGAGAAAATATATTACTATAGCACAGTAATGGCCTCGTTCCTATCCTGCCAATTAAATCAAACAACCCACACAGACAGCTGAACAGAGAACATAATAGAATTAAAACAGATAGTGAGACCACACATGTAACCACATTACTGACCTGTAGCTTCGGATTTGACGCTAGGAGGGGCGTGATACAGTTGTCACCTCTGTGGCTGTCGCAGGGTTTCGTGTACACTATCCCGTACATCACCCAGCAGGTGTGGAGTACGTACACCACAAATACCCCCACGACCAGGGTGGTGAATGATGATTTCAGAAACATGATGCTTGTGTTGTATCGTTGTCCCGGCTAGCTGGGGAGCAGGGCCATACGTCTGCAAATGAGGACAATGGAGGATTAATATGATATTAAAGAGGATTTGATGTGCCATTTACTAGTTATGGCTTTGTCAAGTCAGAGAAAAACCCACCAAAAGCCTGTGTTAGAAGCAGGGTCTGTGGAGTTTGGAAGATGGGGGCAAAAGAGATGCATTATGGGAAACGTATGATTCAAAGTTTTTGAAGCTGCACCCACACTAAAGACGAAATGTCAAGTTACTGATGCTCTGCTTCATCGCTATTGCTTAATGTCTTAGGAAGATGACTGTTATTTGAACCCATATGATGCATCAAGTACAAATGTCCAACAATGTTTCATATATGAATTATATTTTTGTTTTTTTTCCTCTTTTCTGTGTCAGGGAAAACATTTATTGGTCCGTTTACCAGCACTTACTCTTCTGGTTTTGTCATTGTTGTACCTTAATACAGAAACAGCTGAAATGAAAGAAAATGCTAACAGGGCCTCACATCTAGATACAACATTAGATGGTAGGTGACAAGAGAATAGGATGACACGGAGAGAAATTTTATAGAACACCTTGGCCAATGCCTAGCAGAGTTATTAGATGTATCTACCACAGAGGTTGCAGTAAATAAATACCCTCTATTTGCTGGAAGTGGTAATCTACCACCACGTGACTAATAGTAGTTAGTGTTAGAGACATTTTGCCCTTTAACGTACTTAACGCGGAGCTGTCAAGTTGCCCATTTGTTTGCATCGCTGTGATTTTGCTAATAACGATCAAATCATTTATTATCTGATGTTTTTCCATGCCTGCTGCCAATCAGTTCACCTGACAGTGTTGTCCGCGTTGCCGATTGTGACGGCCGTTCACTTCTTTCATGTTTTGTGGCAAAGTATAATAAAACTAAAACGTTAAACCTACCCGTGCTTAATCTGACAAGCTGTCAGTGACAGGACACACTCAGCAGGATCATTGGCTGACTACCCGCTCATTCACCGGGTAGTTAAACGCGACGACATCGTTTCCTCAAACCCGTCCACCGTTTGAAGACAAAGACATCTGCTGCTTACTCAGCTGAGCTCTCCATTCAAGGAAAAAACAGCTGCCCAAAACTGTGATATGAAAGCGTGAGCTGGACTTATATTTCCGCCATTCACTTCCTGGTTTCTTAGACGGAATTTGGGCAGGTACTAACGCGAGACTTCACGTCACCCGAGCTTCTTACGTTTTAGAGCATAGACTGTTAAACTGAGAAAACGGTGATTTAGACCACATAGCGATTACAAATTATCAAATTATTCATATTATTTATCAAATATTACCCGGATACATTAGACTTTTTTGAAATCAATCAGTGAAGTACTAACACAATGTGCTAATTTACATCCTTAACATTTTATACAATTATTGAAAGTAACTTAATAGGTTGCATTTACTACTCAAGTAAACCTACTGTGGGCCTGGTAGTTGATTAGTCTAGAGTAGGCTACATAATAGAGTTATGAAATACCTTCTATTTGATGGCACTGTATAGCCTACTTTCATTCCAATGCCTTTTAGAAACAACTGTTGTACTTGTTACTTCGCTACATATATTATTTTTTGTTATTTTTCAGATCATAGCCAACTAATAAATAATGATTTATTATTGCAAATTTACTTATAATATAGATGTACTCTGTAGTATACAATGCGGTTACAATTGCACCTTACTACTTGCAACAATAACATGTTAAACAAAAAGCCTTCTAACACTCATTTTGCAATTATTCTGCATAAGAGCCTGTTAATTGCTAGAACAATAATCTCAGTTAGTTAATGAAACAAACAGATGGTATTCCCTTTTTGGGTGATGCAAATATTGCACAACTAGTCTGGATGTGTCAGTTTCACCACTGTGTATCTGTCCCACTCTGAAACACATTTCCGTGACCTGGATTCAAACCAGGGTTTTTGCAGCCACAGAGCAGAGTACTAACCACTATATGATCATAGCTGGCCACTCATCCACCTATTGAAGTCTGATAGGCTACTACAGTACAGTTTACAAAATTTGTGTTGAGAATAAAGTTATATATTGATAATGAAAATAGGCTGCCTGACAAAGCCAAGTGCACATAGGTTACCAATTTAGCCCCAGAGAGACATATTATTTTGACAAACAGCATCAAGCTTTTTAATTTTTATGACAAAAATTAAATGTGAACCAGCCTACCTACATATTTTAGCAGAGATAGATCCTTAACTCTGTTATACTGCCTAACAAATGCAACTGCATTTGTAACTTTTATATTTATATGTTTATTTAGATATTTGCACGATTAACCTATTATCCTACACGTGTGAACTGAATATTGCATTTGTTTTGTTTCTGTTTTGCAGTAGTAGAAAAATAAACATAAATGAGCTCCCAGAAGAGGCAGCTTATCTACGCTATCTCTAAGTACAGTTCGTTGATGTTGGGAGAGCCCACTGAGCCAAGCAATGATGTTGCTCTGTTTTCTTCTCTGGTGAGGTAAGGACAGTGTTTTCTTTGGCATCTGTCGTCTAGTCAAAACACACTGCCATGACTTAACAAGGGCTGCTGTTGTCACAGTGCAGAGTACTACCCACTATACAATTAAAGTGGGCCGCTTGCATGCATGTTGAAATCTTACAGGCTATAATATCCTAGCTTACAAAATTTGTGTTGAGATACTATGGCTTGACAGAGCAAAACCTGAACATACACAAAGCATAAAATAAAATAATATTGAATTTAAACTAAATAATGTGCATTTGTAAGGTCATGCAACAGAATTGATGCATCTAATCTGCCTCTGTTAATAAATTAGGAATCTTTGGTGCACAGTTCAGCTTGTGTGACATAATTTTTCTCCGGGTCATTGCAGTCCACTTTAAAGGTGATAGATGAACACAGAGCCTCAGTGCAACTACATCCATGTAACAGCAACCTACACTGAAAACACTTATGAAAGCCTTACCTTTTGAAATAACCAAAAAACCTAATATTGTATGTATTTTTTCCATTCATTGATCAAGTTTACTGTCCCTGTAATTAATAAATATGCAATATGCAATATATGGCTATGCAGAATAATCGCAAAATCAGTGTTGGAAGAACTACTAAGATATTTTGTCTAATAACAATAAACAAGTAAGGAAAAGTCATGCATTCATACACAGGTAATAAAAAAACTATTCTTTTCAATGACATCTTACACTTAGGAATTTTATAGAGGTTGCACATTAAAATCTTGTCAATATCAACAGAGTTGGAGGCAAAGTGATTTTATACCAATTTCTTTCGCACAACCTTAGGGCAGACAAAATATACAACAAAAAATATAAAAGCACAAAAGGGATTTTTGTGTCTGCTCTATTCTTAGTGCTATGACACAGTCACGGTGACATTTAATCAGTTACTATTTGTCCTTAAATGGCATCCTAACCTACCTCCTTTAATCACAAGTCATTCCTGAAGAAAGGTCATGATGGTCACCTGCATCTATGAGCTCAGGCCTGTGGCACTCACCTCAGTCTTATTGAAGTCCTTGAAGCTCTCCGTGTTGTCTAATCCCACATGGATCACAGCCTCACTCCTTGACCCCCTGCAGCTCACCTACAGGATAAAGTGTCCTGTGTCAACATGAGCCGATCATTTGTCTCAAGATTCCTATAACCTCAGTGACTCTGCCATCGGGATATTGTATGAGGAATATACGGTAGCTGTAAAAGGACCGCCATCATCCTAGAAGTGGTCTGTGGGCAAATTTCCCAGCTGAACATCACTTCATAAATCTGCTGGTGGATATTATTAGATTCCCTGTATTGGCCATGACCCCACCTGTCTTTGCAGTATCACCAAGAGAGATGTGTGCTCACTCCCCTTCTCTAATCCCTATACACCAGCAGCTGCATCCCTTACTTTTTCTCTGTCAGATGGCCTGCATTCGTGGACAATCTCATCAATAAACATAAAAAGGACAGCCTCATTTTTATGACCGGCAGCTGAAAGTATTGCAACAACTAAAAGCTTTGATTATATTGGCAGCTGAATTTAATCTTTTTACTATTGGGTCTCATGTATTGTTATTGTTTGAGACCCAAAATTTTGCATAAAGGCCAAAAAAAGACATACATTTGCATAACAGTACTTTTTTAACTTCATTCTTATCCTGTTAATCATGCCACAGCACCTCAGATTTGTTTTGTGACCATGTGATGTGGACAAAGCTCCACCTCAAGCAGTTACAATATTGTAATGACCCCCGGCGTGGAGGAGAGAGACTAGCTACACTGGTACAGCTAAACTAGCCAGCAGGGCGCTAGCACCTATGCTGATCTTGGTTAGCGATTATTCCAGGCCCCATACACCACACGACTCTGGATATCGCGTGTCCTTTTACAATGACCACAATACAACACTGCTTTCTCTGTCATTTATTTAGAACTGCTGATGTTCCAACATCACTCTCCGCTGGTGGGGTCAAAGCGCGAGGGTGATATAGTGCCATCCGATCCCGGTGAAACACTACCTTCCTCCCCCACCCTGGCAGGTGGACTCTGTACACCACCTCAGAGATCCGGTCCAAGGCCTCCCCGGGTCCTTGCCAGTGGTGCATCAGCTTAGGGGACAACCCCCTTTTCCGCTCAGGGAAGAATATCCAGACCAAGTCCTTAGGGGAAAACAATCGTCATTGAGCTCTAGTGTCATAAGCTCGTTTCTGCCTAGCCCCAGCCTCTTCCTGAGCCCTCATCGCTAGCTCGTGCACCTCCTTGAACCGCTCCTTAAGGCGCCTCAAGTACTCCAACTCTGGGCCTCCTTCGATTTCTGGCTCAGGGGCTGGCCCAAACACCAGGTCCACGGGTGTCCGGAGCTCCCGTCCAAACATCAGCATAGCTGGGGTGCACTGGCTGGACTCCTGTACAGCTGTCCGGTATGACCACAGGGCCAGGGGCAAGTGTTGGTCCCAGTCCCTTTGATGCCGGCTGGTCAGGATAGCAAGCTGGGTGGCCAGGGTTCGGTTAAACCGTTCCACCAGTCCGTCGCTCTGGGGGTGGAGTGGAGGGGTTCTGGTCTTTCTTGCTCCTAGCCTTTGACACACCTCCTGAAACAGCTGGCTCTCGGAGTTCCGCCCCTTGTCACTGTGGAGCTCACTGGGGACCCCAAACCGGGCAAACATCTCCTCTACCAGATACTTGGCTGCCGTGGTGGCACTCTGGTCAGGCACCGCATATGCCTCCGGCCATTTGGTAAAGTAGTCCATTGCTACAAGGACATAGCGGTTTCCAGT